TAGATTTACCAAAGCTTTAATGGAGAAATATCAAAGCCATAGCAACTCATTCTTCATGTACTTCAACTATGTAAACATGAAAATGAAAACATCCAAACTTTAATCAGTATCAGAGAGAGAAGCCACCTTACTCCTACGGAATCACAGACTAAAGTAACAAGCAAAAAATCAGGTACTGATTTTAGGGAGGCTGCTAAACAAAGTATGGATGTTATTTCATTTTTCAATCGCTTCTCTTACATGTTGTGTAAAATAAAGTGAAAAACTCACCGAGATCTGCCACCGGTGCACCTTCAAGACCATACAAAGGGAGGGAAAAGCGATTCTATAATCCGTGTATCTCCTGGAATGAATAATACGAGAACCTTCGCCGAAAATATGTACAAAAAAACACAAAGTTACAAATTAAAGCCCCATCTTTATATCTTGTCCTCCGTACTTCAGGTACAGGAGAAGTTTCTAAACAGGTCTGATCAGTGCAGCCAGTCCAGGTTTCTGAGAGAGAGAAAATCAGGATCAGCCTTTCTCCTCTGAGTTGAGCGGATTAGGCGACGTGGAAGTGATGAAAGTTTGTGTTCATAAATTTCACTTTTTATGATGGAAAATAGGATTTGACTACCTCGCTAATGCCTGAGCCTGACGACGAGTGTAGAGGACTTCTCTCTTCTTCTTTTTTTAAAGAAACGTAATGGACACAGATGTATTAGAGGGCAAAAAATGAATACATTTAGATCAGCGTTAATTACCAACATAACTGAAGGTGGGCTATAATTAACATGGACTCATGAGTGCCATAAATTATAATTGGGGGAGCTTTGAGGGCTTAATTGTTAAAAGAAGGAGCTGACGATTTTCTAACATAACAAGCATAAAAAATAACCACATCCTATAATAGAAATTAAATGCCCGTTCCTAATAAATATACAAGCACACAATTAATTCATTCTACTCATATAAAGTAGCCTACACAATATCAATCACCACTAAATAATAATTTTAAAAAAACAGCTACCACTCAAGACTGAAGTGAAATAAATCACAACTTAAACTGTGAGCAAAGAAGATATAATACAACAAATTCAAGTTAGGAACACAACAGGACACCAAAACAGTTCACTGTCAACTCAAAAGTCTTACTCGTAGTATTAATGAAGTTTATCAGTCCTAAATTTCACAAGGAATTACTTATTTTCCTCGACATTTGACATCTTGAATGCTACTGAAATATCGGTAATGACCTATTTACAGTCTATGGTGTGACACAGTCTAATAAAGCTCAAACTTACTGTTTGTTTGTTTGTTTAAATTGATCATGGTAGTAACTAAAAACTGTACTTTACTAACAAAAGAGTAGTTTTAGACTAAAACTGTGAAAAATGGTGTGTTAATGTTGACCCATAAATGTTAACAAGCAGCAACTTAAATTTTGAAAAGCAAGGTCAACGTCAACGTCACTGGACAAGAGAGCTGCAGCCTCTCTGAGGGCCACTAGTGGACAGGTGAGGAACTACAGTGTCTAAAATACAGGATAGGGTGTAGCAAAAAAAGAGGATATGGAGATGATTTACATCAACTTTATAAGAAGTAAACCTGTATAATTAAGGTTTATTCTTAAAGGGGATGAACTACAGTTTATTCTGTGCATGTTATCAGGTGTAAAGACTAATTTCAACACACCTTATATTGTTGAAATAAGTCACTGGGGTACAGTTTGGGAACTAGTGTTGATGTGTGTTCAGGTTGAAGCAAGTTTAAATTTGTCGATTCATTCATTTACATTTCACATGTCCACATATTCTTATAATCTATAAATTCAATGAATAATCAAACAAAGTGCATAAACTCAAATCAATTTTACAAATACTCCGACAAGTTAAAAAAAAAACTTGTATGCTTGATCCACAAACCTGACTCAAAATTCAGACTAAGCTATGGCTCTACCTGGTGGTCAATGTCGGAATTACATACATATTTACATTACACTTTAAGTTACCTTATTTCATTATTACCAAATAAAATAAAAGCAAAAAAAACACACATTTCAGCTTCAACGTCAGATGCATTTTTAATTTAACAAGTTAATATTGTTTAGCCTATAAATATAAAAATATGTTTGTTTTTCTTTAATCTATGGGCCTATGCAACTTATTTGCCCTTGTCTACTATACTCTTGTGGCAGACCAGAATATGCCGTTACTGACCAGGAGGATGTGGACCTTTTAGGGAAACAAACATTATTTACGTTCAGTCACTCTTCCGTCTCCAAAATCTTTGCCTTAAAACGCACATATAAGACCATGTTTCTTTGTTCATTATGAAGAGGTGTTGTTTGTGCAAGAGTTTTTTTTGTGTTTGAAAATAATAGTTTACACTCTACCTCTTTTTTACAGACTTTAAAGAAAATGTTAGAGCACCTTAAGGAACTGAACTCTCCTCTCTTTATTAATCATCATATATTGTTAAAAATCACCACAAGACAAAATCACATCTGCATCAAATCATTTCAGAGAAACTGCTAAATATATATATAAACAAAGTCTTAATTATTAAAGACTGTGTCAAAAAGATTAAACATGCATTTATAAACACAAAATACTTGAATGTACGAAAGAAACTGAACCTTGTGGCACTCCATGGCTAACTTTGGTGTGCATAGAGGACTTATCATTAACATGTACAAACTGAGATCGGTCTGCTAAGTAGGATTCAAACCAACTTAAAGCAGTCCAATTTTACAATTCCAAGTAAATGTTCTAGTCTGTATATTAGGATCTGATGGTCAATAGTGTCAAAAGCAGCACTAAGATCTAACAAGACGAGCAGAGAGAGAAGTCCCCTGTTTGAAGCTAGAAGTAGATCGTTTGTAACTCCAACTAGTGCAGTCTCAGTGCTATGGTGGACTCTAAATCCTGACTGAAACTCCTCAAATAAACTGTTGTCATGGAGAAAGTCACACAGCTGATTAGCTACCACTTTCTCCAGGATCTTTGAGATAAAAGGAAGGTTGGATATAGGCCTATAGTTAGTTATAGTTCCTGAATCTAGAGTAGGTTTTTTGAATAGAGGTTTGATTACCGCTACTTTAAATGACTGTGGTACATATTGCCAGTAAAGACATATTGATCATATCTAATATAGAGTTGCTAACTAAGGGAAAGACTTCCTTAAACAGCTTGGTTGGGATTGGGTCTAAAAGACAGGTTGACAGTTTCGACGGAGAAATAATTGAATTTAGCTCTGAAAGGAAGAAAAACAGTCTAGACTAATATCTGGTCCTGGAACTGTCTCTGCTGTGTCAGACGTATCTGCACCAGGTAAGGGCAGGAGGTTACCAATTTTGTCTCTGATGTCTAGAATTTTGTTGTTGAAAACACTAAGGAAATCATTACTGCTGAGGGCTAAAGGAATACAAGGCTCAATGGAGCTATGACTCTCTGTCAGCCTGGCTACAGTGCTGAAAAGGTATCTAGGATTGCTTTTGTTTTCCTCGATTAGAGAGGAGTAGTAGGCAGCTCGAGCGTGACGTAGAGCCTTCATATATTTTCTATGACTATCCTGCCAGAATAAACAAGATTCTACCGTTTTGGTTGAGCGCCATATTCTTTCAAAATTTTGTGACGATTGTTTTAGAGTACGGGTTTCTGAGTTGAGCCATGGAGCTATTCTCTGCCGTTTGATAACCTTCTGTTTTAGGGGAGTAAAGACAAGTAAAGACAAGTTGCTGTGTTTGTTCTTGTCCATCATTAAATGTCACTCCCATACAGCCTTGATATGTTTCATTGATAGAGCTTGAGGCCAAAAGAGCAAAATTATCTGTTGCACAACCAAATATCGCCTTTCACACCCATTCTTTAATCTGTCTTTCCTCCTTCTAATATGAACTGAAAGATAAATCTGGTGACATTTTGAGGGGCCCCTACTCCTGGTTTATGAACCCTAAAGTAAAAAGCTACCTGGCATTGGATAAAATAGTAAAACCAACTTCACCTTAAGGAGCAACAGCTGTAAAAAAAAAAAAAAATTATCTCAGTGCTGGCGATCCACTGCTGCTCATAGATAAGAAACAAATCAGTAGATTATATATTCCACCATTTAAAAAAGAAAAGTTTCAATGGGTTTCAATTGCAGGATTTGAAGTTGGGCTTTAAGTCCACATGTATTTCTACATGTTTGTTCTGTTGTTCTTGCTTAAAAACAGATTTCAGTAATTCTACCACTACAGTAGATGTCAGCATTTAGTCTAACTGCTGCACTCATTAACTCTAGTGATTTAAAAAGTACAGACATTCCAGTAAAGTGATAACCTAATATTTAAATAATTAAGTTAAATTTTCCTGAAATATATCATCCTGTTTGTATTTTTTTTGATTTCCTCGAATATCTTATGAAATACGGTGTAATTTAAAATGTAAGGACCCAAAATAATGAATTTAACAACCCTGCAACTTGAGAGGTATATTTCAGTTACATTTTACAAGATGCAAATTTGACCTTCTGTGTGTATATTTAGAATATTAAATGCATTCACTCGGATTAAACTAATATAAGTTTTTATTATGTTGTCAGACACATAAATAATATTTGTCTGGCAGATGGTGATATCTGTTTCATGATCTCGATACTTGCCGTCTGTGGTGTCAAGCCTCGCCCACATCCGACTCCACCAGGTTCCGCCCACATCTGCAGCCAGCGGTTGTTGGAGGAAAGAGTCACTTGAGGTCAAACATGGAGACTTTCGACTTGTCTAAACCTCATAATTCAGCGGTAATCGTTTAAAATGAAGCGTTTGAAATGAACTGAATGTTCTTTAGTTTATATTGGTTTGGTTTATGAAAGTACCAATATAGGCCGATATGTAGTATAATTATTTATATTGCCTAAAGCTCAGAGTACTAATGATGACTGAAATCACTACAACACAAGCTGCTGCTCATTCTTTGCAGGCAGTAAATATAATATGAACATATTTATATACATTCAAATAGTACAAGACTCAGGTGGAAGTTTCAGATTTTTTTATTTATTTCAGTGAGGTTCTGTTTTCCAAACATGTTTTTAATTCTACTCAACCCAAGAAACATGATAAAGCCTATAAATGAATATAAAAACAACATGACAATATATCTTTTTTTAACAGTTTAAATATATACCAGCACCATAATTTATAGCCTCCATATTGGGATTGATTGACACTATGAATATTCATGCATGTTTTTAATATGAAATGTTACCAAAAAAACAATCTTAATAAACATGAAATAGTTTTAGGTTCAAAGAAATAAAGTCATGAATAGAAAGATCAGCAAGCGTAAATTTCCTCTTTAGACAATCTTTAACCAGTTTAGACTAAACAAACATACATTCAAAGCATCTGCTCTTTATCATTTCTATTTGAATCAAAGGTCTTGGTAATTTGTTTGTTATCCCTCCTCCTCCTCACACCTCTCAACTCTCAGCTTCGACTTGACAGCTTATTTTATCTTATCCTCAAGCAGCCCACTGGTATGCCAAATTGGCGGGCCGGGGTGTTTCCAAGATTTATTAGTTGAAATCCAGAAGATTGCAACACCGTAGGCCACCAGCAACAATCCCATTACATTTGCAAAGAATGCCTCTGGTGGGGAGTCCGAGTACTTTGGGTCGTTCCTTAATGAGAAAAAAAATAAAAATAAAAAGAGAAAAAGTTTACACATTGTGAGGCAGCACATTCTCTGTTTACATCATGTCTAAAGTTTCAATTTTAACAATTTGAGGAATGTTTCCTGGGGTGATACTCACAAGCTAAAAATGAGTCTCTCTGTAAGGCCAATGAGTGACACACATATCGTGCTACCGAAGAGAAAACGTCCAAGGAACACATGGAGGGGGTGAAACGCTGCTTTCCAGGACTCTGGTGTGATTGGAAACAAGTAGATGCTGGCTGCAAGAGCAATCTGTTCATTGACGGAGACGGAAACATTTACTCTTCAAATATCTATATTGTTGTCACTATGACGTGGTGTTTCAGAAAGAGAGGATTTATCACAGCTTTAAAAAAAAAGGTTTGTGACGGTTGTTAAAAATACAGTAATGTGATTCCATTAGTTGCAAGTAAAAAATAATATGAGTACTCATTACAGTATAATCTGAAATGTAGTTTAAATACCTCTATGCCAAACAGTGAAACAACAGTTATGCCCAGCCAGCTGTGCAGGCTGAACAAATCCGGGAAATTGGAACCACTTTGGGAACCAAAAACAGCCTTGAGAGCCATTATGGCGCAGAAGAAGGCCAAGGTATTCAATGCCGCATGGATCAACTTCACAGATTCTTTGCTGAGCTGATGGGTCCAGGGGAGTCTGAAGGCAATGATGCCTGCAAGAGAAGGCGACTCGGGCTTAGTTGCAAACTCTGTTTATCAATTATGCAGATTTCTACATTTTGCACATGAACAAAGACATTGTTTTCATTAAGAACAGGCTCCATATCTCTATGCACATGTTAAGGTTTGAAAGGTGCATTTTTTGATTGCACTTTTAATATTAAATCAATGAACATTTTTTGTTCTGCTGGGTTCCTGGAGAGGACTAACCTTACACTATGCAACCTAAAAGCAATATACTTCTTAGCTGTTGCAATTTTTTTAAATGTAAAAAAGACTCACCCAGTCCATTCAAGAAAATACTTCTTAGCTGTTGCAATTTTTTTGCCAGTTGAAATTGGCTGGCAAAGGTGTCCAAGCATCAGCAGGGCGCGACTAAACTGGAGCAGCAGTCATCACAACTATATAGATTTTAAGGGGAGGCAGGGCAGGACGGATCAGGTTCACATAACCTAAGGCAAAAGGTGTGCTGTAAATTTCGTAAGAGGGAGGGGAAAAACGGACCCTATTTTATTATTTCCAAGATGGAGACAGTTTGTTTTTTTGCGACAAGGGCATATTGGGCTTCAGGAGTGTCTCAGGTGAAGCAAGCTGGGAAGATCCAAACAATCCTAAAGCCGCAAAAAACTTGCTCTCCAACCATGGTCCAAAATCAGTGTAAGAAATAACCCCCTCACATTTTAAAGTTGCAGTTTATGTGGATGAAAATTAACAAAGTCCCTTTTTTTCATCTTAAATAGACATCCTGAAATTACCTTAAAATATGCATGACATAAAAAATGTGAGGGTGTGATTTATGTTGTAACACTGCTCTAAAAACACACTTGTGATTTCGAGAAATTAATATTTAGTTAAAAACTGTATTTATTTTGGTCATTAATCTTAATTGTATTCTTAATATTTGCTTTTTTATGTTGCACCGTTGGCACACTCAATCTGTTTTTCTTCAAGCCCCAATCAAGTCAAGTCAGATCACATTTTTTTTAATAAAAGGCACATTTCAAAACAAACAGCAACTACGCACAATGCATAGAAGAAACAATGACTTACAACAATTATTAGAATACAGAAATAACAACAAAGGAAGCAAAAATTATGTGATTGTTCAATTCAGACCAAGCAGGCAACCTCCGGGCCCTTTCCGAATAGCCACAGTTCAGTAGGCAGTACGTACTATTCAGTAGGGAGTTTCAGTATACTGAACATTTCAGTATGGATACTAACTTCCAGGTTTCATGCAGTATGGATCGGATGCATGCTTTCAGGAAATTAATTGTATTTTACCACCCACAATGCTGTGCGAAATTAAACGTAAATCGTCACGTCCGCCTCCAAATCAAACCAAACAAGCGTGGATTTATTGAATCAATTTTTAATCTAGAGTTAAAGTCCCGACTGAAATCACTACTTTTAATTAACAACAGAAAATATAACAAATGTCTGCATTATTATAAAACCTTTCCCCCTCTATTTAAATAATGTCTTCATTTTACTGTCTTTCATTTGTACTTTTCTTGATGAAGGCTACGGTATATTATTTAATCTGTCTTTTACTTGATTTACATTGTGATATTGTTTACCTGACTATATGCGCATTACTCTTGAATAACGCTAAACAAAAGAAACGGGTGGATGCGGCCAGTTCAGACGAAGTAGGAACAAATATCTGCCTACTGTGTGTGCATACTGAATAGTAGGTACTAACAGTATGCAGCACGGATAGTACGTACAGCCTACTGAAAGATTGAGTAGGTACTTGCAGCCCCGGTCATGAAAAATGAAGCCAAAGCGCAAGTGCAAAATTCTGCAGTTCATTGAGTGTCCACTTCAGGCTGGCTCCAGTTACACCAGAAGTCACACACACGACTGGCTAAAAAAGCTGATTTTACAGCATAAATAAAGATGTTTGCAGCCTGGTACAAAAAACGAAACATGTCTCTACATTAGTTATTGTCAACACTGGCACACAGTGTACAGGGGGTGAATTTTGGATTTTGAAAACAGTACATGTTAGGAGCGGCGCTGACATGATTGACAGCTGGGCACGATATAACGGTTGGTCAAGAGGCTTCAAACCCGCCTCAGCTCCAGCTCTTAGCCTGTCGTTAGTTTGACTGAAAGTTAGGCTGAGACAGGATTTCCAGCATCGCGGCTGCTGCCGATCAACCTCCGGAGTCCCCTGCAGTAACAGATGGCTGACATCACTCAGGCTTCGTCCACTAATAGTTCAGTCTATGATTGATATAACGGTTGGTCAAGAGGCTTCAAACCCGCCTCAGCTCCAGCTCTCAGCCTGTCGTTAGTTTGACTGAAAGTTAGGCTGAGACAGGATTTCCAGCATGGCGGCTGATGCCGATCAGCCTCCGGAGCCCCCTGCAGTAACAGATGGCTGACATCACTCAGGCTTCGTCCACTAATAGTTTCAGTCTATGATTCAGACCTACTTAGTTTAAAATAAAAGAGAAACTAGATACAAGGCAGGGCGTTCACAGACAAAGATCACACACACACTCATCCAAAAGAAGGAGTCAATTTTATTATGTTAGTTAAATGCAATGATTAAAATGTCTTATTGAAACCAAACTGTTAATGAAGTAATGATATGTACTGGAGCTGGAATTTAATTATATTAAACCATAACAATAGTGACCTATGAAAAAAACCCTGGTGGAAAGATTTATTAGTTATCTGCAAGCAACAATCATTTATGATGACACTGCCACCATCATGTTGACAAACCACTGACCTGCGAGATTCGACACCAGCCATCGTCAAATTTGCTTAAGTAGGGACTCATCACCGTCAACAACAACTCAATCCTGCGCTCCAAGACTGGACTGGGAAGCACCAGGAGTTGGCAGGGCCTCCGACGAGGACTCAGGAGTCGGCAGGGCCTCCGACAAGGGCTCAGGAGTTGGAATGGCAGACGGCGCTCTGCAGGAACACAAGGAGGCTGTGGCTCTGAGGCACAGGGAGGCTGAAACTTGAGCTGAAGCTTAGCTGGGTTGAGTCCTGACATGGAAGGCCCTGACTGCGTCTCCTTCTACCTTGAGTGCTAGAGAAAAAGGCAAGATGAGTCCCCTCCCAGGGAGAAGGCTTGTTGAAACAACTAAAAAAAATCTGCTGGGTCCATTGATGGTCAGTTCATTCTGTCATGAACGGTTGGAAAACAAGGGGATGTGGACACAAGTGCAGAATAACAAAAACTACTTATTTTTTTAAACAAAAAGGCAAACAAAAACTTCCTATCAAAATCCAACTCAAAAAAACAAGGAGACACTCGTAAAATGACAACTGACAACTCACACACGACAATGAACTGACGCAGAGGCCAAGAAACCAAGAGACTAAATAGACATGGGTAATCAGACACAGGTGAGACTAATGCCACAGGTGAAGACAATGAGGGCAATCAACACTGGAGAGAAACACACAGAGGCAGGACAAGAAACACTGAGGACAGCTATGACAAATATATGAAACACTGAAGACACTGTTAAACATCGACACACTAGAACAGAGAGGGACACAAGGATACAAAATTACAAAATAACACAGGAAACACTGAAGACTAAACTATGAAACATGCAGCAACACTAGGATAAACAGGAGAAATGGAAACCTGAATTCTGAAATACAGAACTAAATAAGACCAAATCATGACAGATGCTTTGGCAAAGCATACACTGTAGATGCTTTGCCAAAACGTCTACTGTCAAATCCAGCGGAACGCTAAACAGCGTCTTCCCACGGGTTAAAAAGGTTCATAGATAAAGTGCGCCTGCCCTCCCATGTCACTCTGAACTCAATCACTCCATCGTGTAGACTTTGGTTGAACTGAGCATTATACGTTGCATCTTTAATGACTGTTCTGCTGAGTGTATGCTGCTCCTCTGCATGTATTGGTTTTTCAGCTGTGTTTGCAGTAGTTCCCCGCTCTGTATGTGCACCTGCAGGTCACACGGACAGATAGGCACCTTTGTGATGCGCTCATTGATGTAACGCCAAACCAAGTGCTATAAAAAGGGAGGAGGCTTTAATTAAGTGAGAACTTGAGTTGTTTTGCTGACAGCAACCACTTATGAAAGGCGTGAATGTGGGACCATCTCCAAATAGAAAAATGATTGATTGTTTGGCAAGTAAGTCAGGAACTTACACAATGACTGTTGTTTTTAAACTGATTCTGGTGAACATTAAAAGTCTGTGGAACAGATGAACATGATACAGCAGGCTATGGTAAAAGGTATTTTGTAGAATTAACTGTTCAACTGTTGGTCTTGATGCCTTAAGGTATTTGCTGGCTATGAGAAGAAAAGCAAATCAGAGACAATTAACCTGAAACATTATGTAGGAATCGGTAGTGTCTTAGTAGAAAATATGAATACAATCCATTTATACTGTATCTAGCTATATGATTTAGCGGAACCCTTGTGTACTTGTACTTCATTATATCTTTGTTAGAGACATTAGTTCAATTTCAGCATTATCAGTATTTCAGTCAGGAATACTCTCGTCATAGATTTAACCATTTATTGCACTCATGGTTTGTTCAGTTGTATTTAACAGTATTGGTTATGCTCTTAGCTCTCAGCAGTATCAGTGCAGTATGCCACAGATTTAGCTGAGAGCGCAAACCTTTAATTCCCCCCATGGGGACGTGCAGAACAGAACCTGAATGTGCATGTAATGGTACTAACATCTTGCAGACATAAGAAGCAAACAATTCATCCTGGAGTATAAAATGTGATGACTGAAGCAGGTGGAGGTTGGGGTGGTGGAGGGAGAATTTCACAGCAGTGTCTATCAGCAGAGTGGATGTACTGCCCTTTCTGCACGTTCCAAAGTACAGGATTTGACAGCCAGATAACACTCAAACAAAAGTCCTCTAATAAAAACACAAGGCTTGTCTTTTCTTGATTTTACTTGATTTCCTTTTGTTTTGTTTTTGTAAAAAGACAAATGGTCTCCAAGGCAGAAGCGTAGCAGAAAACCATTCAGCAGCAACATGCATCCTCTGTCTCTCTCTCTGTCCTTCACTGCAGCATGTGACTTCATGAACTAACTACCCACAATGACCCATAGATGACTGTTTAAACCATGAACTAATGTAAAAATGGAATGTTTTTAATCTTTTACATCTAACTTATCATGACCACTTATTTTAACATTTTTAAACTTAATTCAAATTACTGACTTCAAAATAAAGGCAGCACAGTGGATGTGATGCAGGAGGAGTGAGAGGCAGAAAGGTTTAAATAGGCCGCCTTGTTTTCAGAGTGTGATAATGACTGGTTGGCATTGGGGCGGTTCTCAGATCAG